CCTGGAATTGTGGGTTGTGTGTGGATTCATGTTCAGAAAGTGGAGCTACGCCATTGGTGGGAACATGGCGACGAGAAAAACACGAATAAGTTAGTAGAATGAAAAGCTTTCGCTGATACCTGTGGGATTAAGAGTGTGGATTTGAAAGATAAACTTTTGTTCAAGAGTTTTGCGGCTATCCGAGCTATTTCAAATAAAGTGACATTTCGAATTTTTTTTTTTACTGAAAAATGGGGGGGGTGGATATCCACCCTATCCACCCCCCCTGTATCCGCCCCTGGTCAGTCAAGTCTGATTAGTTAATAATCTGAGTACTCACATTCCATCCTGCAATGTTCTGTTTTTTTCTCGTCGCATGTCTCACTGGTGGAAGGGTGAGACACCCGTAGACACCAGGTCCGTTTTGTTTGTATTTTGTTTTTTTATTTGTTCGTTTATTTTTTGTTGTATTGAACGCCAATGTAAATAGAAACCAAGTAGGCTCTGTGAAAATAGGCACTATTTAAAATGGGTATTAATATCACTTTGTCGGGCAGCATCGCCGCTTTGCGGGCTAAAATGGTGACTTTGACGATTCCTTAATTGTTCAGACTTTTTTTTTTTATATATCTTTTTTCTTTTTTTGTTCTCAGTGCCCTCCAAATTGATACTAATAGTAATACACTTTACTTTCGTGGGCTTAAATGCATTTTACATGGGCTCTTCTCTTTTGGGTCGGGCCCAGAACACATTTATGCCCGCGAGCTTAAAATTAAACCATTTTAGTACCACCAATGAAAAAACCTCCCACGACGCTGCTTTTGTAAAAATCACTGCTTTGGAGATTTTTTACCTGAACCATGGTATATAATTGAATAAACGGGTATATTTTAATTATAGTAAAGAGTAGTTGATTCAGGTGTCTATAAAGAACTAGCCTGTTCCACACGCCTCATTTCGCATCGCTTTTAACCCTTGCGCTGCAAGGCCAAAACTGGCGACAAATGAGCTTAGAAATATTCAGGACTCAAAGGTAAATTCTGCATTTTTTTCGGCGGTACATAAAATTACTTTCGAAAGACAAAATTGAGTTTTGTCTTCACTTCGTGAATAACACTTCCTCACATTTTTCTTTTTTATCAAGCTGTAAACGGCGAAATACTATCCAGTAGTCTGCGTTAGCGCTTATCACCGATTGTTCTGTATCAACCAAGAAAATTTCTGTACTCCCATGCAGCTCTTCCCAAAAAATTAAAAATTTTTTTTTCGCTCCAGGTTAGTGTTTTTTAATCCGGCAGTTAACGCAGCTGCTATTTCAGTTGTGAAGCGATTTATTTTATTTTTATCTTCAATATTGGCTTAAGTTTCCATGAACTTTTGTTCCTCGTGAATTCTGCTTGATCGATTGTGTTTCTAGACTGATAATGAGTTTTTATTTCAGCTTCCTTAACTCATGGAAGCCGGGGAAAATTAATGAAATCATGGATCCCATGCTGTAAATCGGTTTTTAATTTTTCTCCACCGACCGTGCATCAGACAGTTGTATTTAATTAATATTGGAAGGATTGTTTAATTATTCCTGTTCATTTAAGCCTCCCCTAACCTTGCAACTCCTTTCGTTTACTTGAAATCACTAATCAAAATCCATAGCCTTTGTTTCTTACTATTCATCGACGATCAACTGTCGGATAATCGCGCGGAGCTATTAATAATTTATTAACTCTATATTTTGAGCATAAACACCAATGCAAGATGGCGGCTGGTGTTTTGGCGACGTCAGTGAATTATTCTTCTTCACAGTCATCGGCTGCTCCTTTAAGCCGATCCCAAATTGGAGGCTATGATGCAGATTTTGTAAGTCCCATATCTGCCGATTACTTATGTCCTATCTGTCAGCTTGCTTTTCGTGATCCCGTTCAAACTAGAGACTGTGGCCATCGATTCTGCGAGTCTTGTTTAGAGCCAATCTTACGGTAAGTAATAGGGAAATGTCGTTCTGTTCTGATTCAAAAGGGTTTTATCTAAAAAATTTATTTAATATCCTTTACAGAAAACCTCCAGCGTTTTGCCCGATCGATCGAAGAACATTAACCAGGGAGAAGGTGAGAGATTTTAGCTCAGCTGGTAGAAAAATATTTTTCGTACTGCAAATCTGGCAAGAACGAGTCGTTCCTCTGTCAAACATATGTTTGTAATAGAAGCTGTGGTATTTATTGTATGAAATATCCACAGATTTTCCTCCTTTCTCTACACTTTGGCCTCACAGCAAGGTGAGAGTAAAAGGCTCAAAAGCTCTGTTTTGCTGGAGAAAAATGTCAAATTACGGTTTTTATTTATGGTGTCCTTGATCCGGGCAGTGTCGAAAACCATAGCGTCGGATTTCCGACGCTTAATAACGATTTTATTTTGATTAGTTTGATATCTGTTTGGGTCGCTGAAAGGTACTGAACGAGGCTCTTATTTTTCGTATTTGTTTGGACTTTTTGACGGTTTAGGATCCAATTTTAAAACCCAAATAGCTGCTTGTGCTCGTTTTAATGAATTTTCACCTTTTACGATGAATGTAACGGATATCATAAACTTATCAGCTAATGTTTACGGTCTGTGATGTACGCATTCGTACTGATAAACAAGAACAAAAATATTTCCGAAAACGTCACATAAGTAATTATATATGATTGCAGTAAAGGCTGTAGAAGATATATCATTGGAGTAAAAAGTTTAAACAGCACAATTTAATTTCGCTTTTCCTCTTTGACTTCGAAAGGTTCACTTAGAAATTTCGCGTGACCAAATTAGCACAATTTTTGAGTTAAAAATTTGCTTTTGTGGTCTGCTTCGCCGTCGTTACGTGTCTCAATTGCTCTAACAATACAGTTTCCTTTGTGATTTTTGTTTTTCCATGATTATTCTGTTGTGGTGAGAGCCAGATCAAACAATGTAATCTTTTGTTTGCTCAGAAGCGTTGCGAAAGAAATTAAGAGGTCAGCGATATGACGTGAAACTTCTTTAATCCTGGCAAATTTAAGCCAGAGGCAGACAATTCGGTCTCTCATTTTAGGTATTGTTCCAAGTTTAACAAAGTCAAAGACGATTGATTTCCTTATGTCGTGAATTTTTCTCAGTGGAACGTTTCTTTTGTTCTTGAAGGCAGATCTTTGATTGTTCATGTTTCTTGTTAGGGATAATATTGATTTTAACGATATCCAAGTGTGTTAATTAGTTAATCGAATTACAACTTGCAGTCAGGTAGCATGAATTCAGGCATTCATGAATTCTGCAGAGATTCCCTTTCTAAATTTGGGAAAAATTAAACTGAATTGCAATCATGGATCAAAAAAAGAGGGTAATTTATTAAACTTACAATTATGATTATTACTACAATTAAAAAAAAATTGCTTTGAACTTTTGGTTAGTCGATAGGCCTGTAGAATAACATTCTGCTGTCATCACAACATTCCATTTTTTGAACAAAATGCTTTCAGTGTCTCAATATTTCTTTCAATATGAGCCCTTATCATCGTGTTCCAGTGATATCTCTGTGCAGCTGGTGTCTCCTGGGTTATTCCCCCAGGGATTGTCACAAAATTATTCTCCATCTGTTTCTGTTATGGGACCAATTCCTCACACGGCCAAAGATATAACTGACCACACCCATTCTAGTTTCCAGGATCTCTTTTCTTTCCACCCTTGTGAAAGAGTATGGAAAGAAGAAGATCCTGCAGTGAGGCTAGGCTGCACCTTGATGGCATCTTTTTTTTTTTACATGGTCTTTGTTCCCTTTTCTCCCTTGTACTCTCTAATTTAAAAATCTTGACCCTCTGTAAATATTTCTTCATAATTATTTTTTATAAACCTACTATTAGTAGTTAAGCACACTTGAAGAATTGTATTTAAGACTTCTTGTTACTGTTGTAACTTTGCCATAAAAACCTAAGTTACAAAGTCTAAATTTCAGGCCCAAAGAAAATGTTCTCAAACTCTCAAGGAAATGCATTGTTTGACAGTGCCATCAGTTTTGAAGAATGATATTGATTGTAATGAGGGCATTGTGCTCATTTCACCTGCCAGAAAATTTTTTCTTCAACTGCTTGTGATTAGAATGGAACATGCAAGAATGTCTTTCTATTACCATGGAACTTTGGATTTGAATAATTGTAAATGTGTGAAACCCATCTCTTTTCTTTTAAATGTATTATTTCTCTTGTAAATATCTATACATTAAACATATAGTAAGAGTGTAGTCTTTTTTCCACTTAAGTTAGAGCACTCTGGGTTCCTGTTGATTATGGGAATGCTCTGTTAGTTCCACAAATGAACTGCCCTTAATGATACAAATGTACATGTGGAGTTTGTCTCAATTATACTTTCGCTATTAAAGTGTCTACCTATGTGGTTGCTTGATACCCAGAGATTCTGCAACTATTTTCATCTGATCAGTTCCACAGTGTATCAGTAAAACTCATACCTGAGTGAATAGTACAAAGAAAACCATAATAAGTGTCTAATATTTCCCATTTATCACCTAAATGTTGCAAGACCAATAAGTTGATAGGTAAAAATTTTGTGAGAAAACTGGCATTTATCAATAGCAAACCATTAGACAAGTAATTTAACCCCTTCCCTACTACAGCCAAACATCCTCTCCAACTAGGAGGATTTATAACTGTTTACCAGTATTTCTGTCTCTTGACGTAATGTATTAAAAAAAAAAAAATCACTAGCCACAATAAAATAATTTCTCCTAGGTTGGGGGCACCCTCTAGAGGCCATTTTCATAACAATTACTTTACTTAGGCTTAATTTTTGGCATAGAAAAATGTACTCATGAATTTGTGTTTAGTTTGCCACCTTCCATTTATACATGTATACTTCTCAAGACAGCAACATCCCTTAATTAAGCAACTCATCTTCTCTACCCTGTTGTTTCACTCTCTGTCGGAAGTTTCCAGTCTTCTGTTCATTCTTGAGTAGTATAAGTAGATGAATTACAGGTGATGAGTTTATGACTTTGGCAGCAAGCCTTAAATTTCCTGTTGCTGTTTTGTTTGATAACAGCCCCAATTCTGTAAACCAAATAAATGAGATTACTTCTTATCAGTCTACCCCATGTATTGTACATAATCTGTGATTTTAGGATAATATCTATAACGTATGGTTTATTCTGGTGACATTTAAGCCTATAATTACTTACCCTTGTAAACATTGAAATCTGACAATATAACCTAACTCAGGGTTTTGCTTCTAGTATCCAAAGCTGCTCTTTGACACTTTGGCATGATGCAATGATATCAACTCAAAAAATATTCTCCTTTAATTTCACTGGTCAAGGTCAAGATTTTTTTATCTTGAATTTTTTCAAACAGTTGGTAAACCAATCTCCAAGAATTTCATTATCTAGCTATTGAGATAAAAGGTAGCATGTCAATTTATTCTCAGTCAGATTTCCTCTTACAGTAGTAATTTATGTCATGGTATGACTGTGATAAACTGTGAAAGACTATGATTAGTCAGCCTCAACTATAATTCTCTCTTGAAGATCACAGCAAGCGGATGTTTGTTTTGTATTTCTATCCTGAGTAATTTCACTCAGAAATAATTAGAGGAAAAATTGTGTCTGGTTTATATCGAAAGGTATAAAATCACATGTTTGTTTTGCTTGAAGAATGACCTTAAAAGGTCTTAATTCTAAATTGTGAAGAGTCATTTTTTTAGTTCTTGAGAGTTTCTTATTAATAAGGAGCTTGATAAACAGCAGGTAAATCTTTCTTCAGTTATTGCTAGAAGTGATCGACTTGTATTTAAGAAGTATGGTCTTCCTTTTATGTGGATTTTCAACTTTAAGAGGAAGCCCTTTTGAACCAATCCTTGAACCTATTGATTTCAAATTTAAAGCTGCTCCTCCAAAACGAGCACAGAATAGACATCTGTTGGTAGACAACAGTTGTAGAAATAAGTTTTGCTAGCACTCATGATGAATTTTGACTTGGATAACTTTAATTTGTAAATCAAGATTGTAAATTAATATGTAAAAGTCATTGGATTGTCATTTCAACACACATTTATGCATCTTTAACTCGGCATTTTTCAAACTTTTTAGTTAGATCTTCAATACATCATTCATAACAGTTATTTTTTTTTTTCAGTAATTGATATACACTCTATTTGACTTACCAGTTATTCCTTATCATGTCTGTGAGAGTCAGAACCTTTCAGATTAGACATACTCTAGGTACAAGTGAGTGTTGTTTCTTCATGTTGAAACACAATCTCTTAGAACCTCATCTCAGGATAACAGATTTAGTACTAGAAGTTTATAGTTAAACAAAGAAATGATATCATTTTCAATTTTAGGCACATTGATTGACATGGTGTGTTTTGGCTAAAACGAAGTGTTTGAATTGAGTCAGATTAAAAACAAAAATTTTGTTTTTAGCTTGTTAGTGCCTGAATGATGATTTATATTATAACCTCAAACCTGTGATGAAGTGTTTTTGTATGATGCATAACTGTCTCTTTAACAAATGTCATCCATAATATTCTGTCATAAATGTACAGGTATACAGAAGGCTTTACATTTTTTGAAAGCAAAACTCAAATATTCGATTCTATCTTTAATGCTTAATGGCAATAATGGATGGGATTTTTGCAGGTATCCTGACATATAGGATCCTGTCATTAAAGTAGGAATCTATGTTTTAGAAGGTCCCTTTTTGCAACAATTTTAATGTGTTATATGCTTTACTTGATTTCATATTTCAGGTTTACCCTGATAGAGCTTGTAAAAGAACAGTGTTGTCATTAACGGTGAAATGTTACAACAGTGGCAACGAATGTGACTGGACAGGAGAACTTATAAACCTTGCTGTAAGTATACTACACATAAATGATGTCCTCAATCAAAATTTTCAAAGAATTTTGAAAGATTTTTACAGTGCACTACTTTGACTCCAAAGCACCCTTAAATCTCTTAGAAAAAAAGTGATCACAAGCTCATATGTGGCCAACCTAGAACACTCTAATCTCAGTTCTGTTCTTGTTCAAAGCAGCAGTTTTGTTAACCCTTTACATTCTAACATCAATATGCATATTCTCCATACTGTTCTCTATACATTTCTTAAGGTGCTAACAAAGAGAATTTGTTTAACAATCAAGAGCTTCTTTAGTTGGTGATCATTTCTTTTATTCCTGGGACTTTAATGTGTGTTATATACAAGTTAGAGTGATATTGTAAAGAAAAATTAAAAGCAAGTCACTTGAAGGGATCAAAGGGTTCAAATATGAGACAAATGGGTAATTTAGAATAGTAGGCTGGTATTTTTAAAGACTTGAAGTGTTTTTCTGTTAAATTATAATTCCTTTTTTTGCTTAGAATCACTTGGAAAACTGCAAACGAGTTCCAATTAAGTGCATCAACAACTGTGGAAGAACAGATATACCAAGAGACCAGGTTATTTTTGAAATGTTAAATTTAATCATACAATAGTATTAGACCGAGTAATAAAACCAATTTTTTTTAAAAAAAAAAAATCTCTGTATGTTAATTAATGACTGCAAACAGATTTACCACACTGAAATCTCCTTGATCTCACTTAAATTGAAATTTAAGAATGAGTTAGGGTATTTTTTCGATGAAGTGCCTACCTTGAATAAGTGCCCACCCTGTAGGTAAAGCCTAAAAGGTACAGTTTGTATTAGAATTTAAGAATAGGTTATCTTTAGGTATTTTTTTTAGATGAAGGGCCCACCTTGAATAAGTGCCCACCCTGTAGGTAAAGCTTAAAAGGTACAGTTTGTATTAGAATTTAAGAATAAGTTATCTTAAGGTATTTTTTTAGATGAAGTGCCCACTTGAATAAGTGCCCACCCTGTAGGTAAAGCTTAAAAGGTACAGTTTGTATTAGAATTTAAGAATAAGTTATTTTAAGGTATTTTTTTCAACGAAGTGCCCACCTTGAATGAGTGGCCACCCTGTAGGTAAAAGTTAAAAGGTACAGTCTGTATTAGAATCTAAGAAGAAGTTGGAGTATTTTTTGATGAAGTGGCACACCTTAAATAAGTGCTCACCCTGTAGGTAAAGGTCAAAAGGTACAGTCTGTATTAGAATCTAAGAATAANTGAAATGTTAAATTTAATCATACAATAGTATTAGACCGAGTAATAAAACCAATTTTTTTTAAAAAAAAAAAATCTCTGTATGTTAATTAATGACTGCAAACAGATTTACCACACTGAAATCTCCTTGATCTCACTTAAATTGAAATTTAAGAATGAGTTAGGGTATTTTTTCGATGAAGTGCCTACCTTGAATAAGTGCCCACCCTGTAGGTAAAGCCTAAAAGGTACAGTTTGTATTAGAATTTAAGAATAGGTTATCTTTAGGTATTTTTTTTAGATGAAGGGCCCACCTTGAATAAGTGCCCACCCTGTAGGTAAAGCTTAAAAGGTACAGTTTGTATTAGAATTTAAGAATAAGTTATTTTAAGGTACTTTTTTTAACGAAGTGCCCACCTTGAATAAGTGGCCACCCTGTAGGTAAAAGTTAAAAGGTACAGTCTGTATTAGAATCTAAGAAGAAGTTGGAGTATTTTTTGATGAAGTGGCACACCTTAAATAAGTGCTCACCCTGTAGGTAAAGGTCAAAAGGTACAGTCTGTATTAGAATCTAAGAATAAGTTGGGGTATTTTTTTATGAAGTACCACACTTTAAATAAGTGCCCACCTTGTAGTTAAAGGTTAAAAGGTACATTCTGTACTTAGAATTTACAAATACATATATCTTATTAGACATTTTAACTATTGTTATCGTGAGGAGAATTCCTGTCTAGGTCACTCATGGAAGATAAAGAGTTTTAAGTGTCCACCTTGAATAAGTGGCCACCCTGTAGGTTAAGGTTAAAAAGGTACAGTTTGTACTTTGAATTTAAGAATAATAAGTTATTTTATAAGGCATTTTTTTGACGAAGTGCCCTCCTTGAATAAGTCCCAACCATGTACAGTTCCTGCTTGAGCCGAGTGGCACACCCAGCTGGAGTTTATCCCAGTTTCCTTAGCATGAAGTGACCAGAAGTTTAACTACTCCCCCCTGGATGGGTATGTTAGTCCATCACAACGTTGTGATGGGCTAACCATCACAATAACCATGATCATAAGTGAATAGGCACCTTGTAACTGGTTGTTTCCTTTTTTCAACAGATGTCAGCCCATGTGGATGTGGATGGGGACTGCCCATTGGCTGTTGTGCTCTGTCAGTATACTGACATTGGATGCAAATTCAAGGTGAGAGTGCACTGGGGTGTTAACAACATTTCAGTTTTGGTCTTTGAGCCTTATTTGCAGACTTATGTTGAACAGTGTAAGCAACCAACTGATGATAATAATAATAATAATAAAACTTTATTAACATGTCAATGTATTTAGCTTTAAATTAGCTAATTGGGGACAACCTAACTAAGTCTTAAGCTTACAACAAGTACAAGATGACTTAAAAATAAATATTAAAATAATCAAAATTATTTACAGTATGATAATTGATACAATAAAAACTTAATAAGATGTTATAATAAATAAAGAATTATCGTAGTTTCGTGTTTATGATTTACACAGTTTATAGCAACTACTGTTATTCTTAATGAGATCTGAAAGGGCAATTTTCCTTTTTGTGTTCTTAAATGCCTTGAGGGTGGGTGACATCCTTAATCCCTTACTAAGTTTTGACCAGATATACGGGCCCTGGTATCTTATTGTATGTTTTCCATAACCTATGGTATTAAAACGAGGTATTTCAAAGTCGCAGTTTCTAAGGGAATATTGAGAATTGCTAGAATTGAATAACCGTGATAGACAGCTTGGGACAAGATTGTTTTTAACCTTGTACATCAGAATGGCAGAATATCTTGTAGCCGCCTGTTGTTTAGAGTCAGCAGTCTAGCACAAACGAGAAGATCTTCTCCATGATTATGGTCTTGTAATGGAAGATCTTCTCCATGATTATGGTCTTGTAATGGATGTGTACATAGTGAGGAAACAGTGGCACCTATAGCCTGCGCAGTAGGCGTAATTTTGACAAGCACGGATTCAATATTTTCTAGGTGAAAATTATGGCTGCTATCTTTGATGTTTACTGCAGCAGAAGTTTGGGGAGAGAAAGAAATTTGTACTGAGGGAGTGAGCAATGGTGAAAAGGAAGC